AGTCCACGAAAGCTTACGCTCTAATAAATTTGTTAGTCTCTAAGATGCCACAAGTACTCCTGTTCTCTTTTTGCGGATACAGACTAACACGGCTGCTACTCTGAAACCTGTCATTACTGACTAGAGCCTTGTCCTTCCACAATGGTCCTTTTTCAGTCCTGCCTAATCCATTTAAACCATACATTGTACAATAGTAGTCATGCAGCAGAACTCCACCAGCCACTTCTCTAGGACTAAAAGTGCACTCTCATTGAGGTATCTTACTTTAGCTCATATTTTCTTACCCATCAGATTTCAGCACAAAAACCAGGAAGCCCTAAGGTGGAGCAGTAGATTAGGGGCCAGGTCATCCCAGCCAAATATGGGAAAAAATTTGCAGCTTCATTGCTTTTTTTTAAACTCCATTGATTCACAGGGTTGGATCAACATACCCTCTGTGTCTCAGGTTTCTTCCTCCTTTTCCTATCTTCTCTTTTTTCTTCCATTCCTACCCACAGTTAGTCAAAGAGGAATGGGGTGATTCCAGGCTCATTCCCAGTACCAGTTTTTCCAGGGCTGAGCATGCAGGACTGAATAGGAAGGGAGACTGGCTGCTGAAGCTGGAGTACTTCAGCTCAGTGCCACAGAACCACCTCCTTCCACATCTTCCACATACTTCTTACCTGCAGGATTGTCATCTTAGGGAATGGCCCAGTGGGAGTGGTTCACTACTTATCTCTGGTATGTCTCATTCCTAGTTGAGGGCAGAAGCCAGTTCCCCTGGCCTTCCTCTTTCCAAGTCAAGGGGCATTGGGGCCCTTTTGTGGGAGGGAGGCTGTGAGGAGGGGGAAGGCCCTGAGTCTTACAGACCTCTCAGAGCTTCAGGTAATCTGGATATGATTCAGATAAGCACCCATGTACCCATGTGGCTTAATGTACTGCACTTAGACTAACTGCATCCCCACTTTGCCTTGGAAGCCTCTATTACCAGAGGAACCAAAAAGGTCTGTTTAAGTTAGTCTGAATGAAAAGAGATTTACAATGTGTTTAGGATGGGGGCACAGTGATGAGTGACGCATGCTGTAGTTAGAAATCATTCATATGACATGAGGAGACCATTAGTATAGATCTGCCAGGTCAGATGGAATATTGTACATTTGTACAGCATTCCACACCAACTGTTTGTGGCAACGGTATGTAAGAATTCCGTGGCAAATCTGAGTACGTTTTGTAGCACTTTGTCATTGGCAAGAACACATAGCCAGCCATCTGCCATTTAGCTCATGCTCATACACCTCATGTTAGCTGCAGAATTTCGAGAGCCAGATGCCATGCACATCCAGAACACAATAAATATTATTCAGCATTTTGCATGCAATGGAGGATCACAGAATTAGATTAACAAAGTTCCTATCCTCCTTGTTGCTTCCAGATATGTATTGTAATCAATTCAAAACCCAGAATACTGGATTGTCTTTGCAGTAATTGTTTTACTTCACCATCAGACATCAGAAGCAGTGCAAATTGTAGGGTATTAGCTGGCATATAGATACAGTATATCCTAGATCAGGGGTCGGCAACCTTTCAGAAGTGGTGTGCCGAGTCTTCATTTATTCACTCTAATTTAAGGTTTTGCGTGCCAGTAATACATTTTAACATTTTTAGACGGTCTCTTTCTATAAGTCTATAATATATAACTAAACTATTGTTGTATGTAAAGTAAATAAGGTTTTTAAAATGTTTAAGAAGCTTCATTTAAAATTAAATTAAAATGCAGAGCCCCCCCAGACTGGTGGCCATGACCCGGGCAGTGTGAGTGCCACTGAAAATCAGCTCGCGTGCCGCCTTCGGCACCCGTGCCATAGGTTGCCTACCCCTGTCCTAGATGGTTTGCAATAGGTATAACTCTTATTAGCTCAAATGGTGTTACTGCTATACCTATAAATGTGTGCAGCAAATGAATTCTTTATAAAGTCACACGCTGCCATTTCATCTGGAGGTTCAGGTCTCATCCCTCTAAAACGTGGCAACAATTTTCTAAACTGGGAAATGAGTGAGATTTTTTCCTTTGAAATTATAATGTGCTCAACAAGTGTTTGTTGAGTTTTGGAGAGACACCTGCAGGGAGGTGCTGTAGGGGGCCAAGGTAAGCGTTCTCTCACTGTTTTATGTAATTGAAGTAGTATTTTGCTCCTCATTTTGCTCAGGATTCCAGGGAGCCTAAATATACAAGAGTATAAATAAGCTAGGGCGGATGGTTTCTAATAAAGAAATCATTGAGGTAGAGATGCATTTTTCCTCATAACACTGCTTGTGGCTGGCTGATTTAGCAACTGTAACCACAGTATACCTGATGAATTTCTACATTCTAATTCAATTTGCCAGTGGCATTCCTTAAAGCATGTATGTATGTCTACAAAAACACCTCAAGCTGGTTTTCTTTATCAGTTTTTGATGCACACTAGACTGCTGAATATGGGAGATACCCAAGAGCAGTTAACATGTCACCATAGAGTGCTGGGGTGGTTATGAAATTACATAAATTTGTGGCTTATAAGAGGAATAGAAATGGGTTTGCATAACAACATTATTATTTTGTAAATGATAAAATAGGGCTGTTTTGAATTATTCTGCTGGTGTTGTATTGACTTATATAGAACCTGTATTATGCAATGCACTTTACTTTTTTAAGTACAACATTTTCCAGAGCATTCAGAATTGGCCTAGCTCTGATCCCATTGAATTTACCCTAACTGAACAAGAACAAGGAGAGAGCCTCACTGATTGCTCTTTTTCTGTTTATTTTGAGAAATGTATTTTATTTTTATAGACTTTTTACAATGTGCTAGTAAATGTTCTGTTGTGTGGTTTGTAAAAATGATGGAGCCTTTCTAATGAGCGACTTCCCTTTAGCATTCTGCCTTTGAATGAAAACTGAGGAGAGTCTGCCATTTTGAGAGCAGGTGTGGACTGGGGAAGTGCAAGCTAAAAAGATTGCACTGTCATAATGATAGTGCTTGCACAAAGCTCTGTCCTCAGATTGCTGTTGCCTTAATCCAGTTGATTCTCTTAGTCATGTGACTCCTGTAGGACTGAAGAAATCTGGACCAAAATATTTTGTCTTAATCTGCAGATTCAGAAAGTACAAATTTTGAAAATTTTCCTTAAACCGCCCAGAGGCAGTGGGAGAGGGGCTCATGCAGAAGGGCTTGGAGTGATTGGGATCAACTGAATAGAAAGTCACTACCTGTTTCTTTCTCTCTCTTGTCTATCCTAGGAGAAAAACCATACAAATGTACCTGGGAAGGGTGCACCTGGAAGTTTGCTCGCTCAGATGAACTGACAAGGCACTATCGCAAGCACACAGGAGTGAAGCCATTCAAGTGTGCAGACTGTGACCGCAGCTTTTCCCGTTCAGATCACTTGGCACTGCACCGCCGTAGGCACATGCTGGTGTGAGAAACGCTACTTGTTAAGTAGAGTATAAGAGCTGGGTCTCTTAACTACGTGCATTCAGCAGGGCTGAATCCTCTTCTACAGTGTTAACACAAAGGACATTCCATGATGTCCATAACAAAAAAGCAGGAAAAGAAGTGCCACTCTTCTCCTTTCCATCTGAAGTTAAAGCCCCCCAGCATGGCAACCCCCCAAAATGTCATCATGTTCACCTGGGAGATAGCAACCTAAATGCTACAAAAATGGGCATTATTTTCCATACTGTGTCCTTTATCAACATTTATGGCCGGTACATTTTCTCAGCTGTTGGACATTTTATTCTTGAGAATTATTGCTATTTTGATGATCAGATAACACAAACCAATGAAAAAAACAAGACCTCTAGACCTTTAGTATTCCATTGTCTCCCCCTTTTTTGAGTATCGTCTAATCAGTATATAAAATATACCTGATCTGTGCTACAAACAAGCTGCATGAAAGTCAGTGAGAAGATTTTGCTGGAGAAGTTCCACTGTCTGAAGTGTAGTGGCACTTAAGCAAACTTTTACAATAATGATGGTGGCGTTTTACTATTTCACCACAGTTTGTCATTATGACCTAAAGGACACCAAACATGTAACCTTTTCTTTTTCTTAGATTTTTTTTTGTTGAAGTCTGTAAAACAAAATGGGGTAGCAGCATTTCAGCTGAAGTACAGTATAAGCATCTGTGCTCTGCTGTGGATTTGTTTAGAACAGTTTGTATAGAAAGACCCCATCTACAAGCTACTGCCCTGTTTTCAAAGTGCAGTTTTTTGTCACCCAGGCATCCTCCCCGTCTACATACATGTATTTGATTACAAGGAAACAGTGAAACATATCTTATATCCACTTGCACCAAGATTAGTGGCGTGGCCATCCATAAAATGGAATTGAATGTACCACTGCTAGTGAGGAAAAGCAGAAAAGAAACAGCTGCATCTCAAACAGGTGAAAGCAATAATGAATGAAATGGCTTTCAAGACAAAAAACATAATGAGGACTTGCAAAACCCAATCTTTGTACCAACTAAGGTGGCCATAAAGAACTAGCACATTGGATTTTTTGTGTTATGTTGACAGCTTACGCTATTCTTTCTGATATGTGTTGGCCTGCTAAGTACCACAGTTATTTTCATTCCCATCAAATATAATAGTTATTTTGTGGCTGGAAAGATGAGATAGGTGAGGGGGTTGGGAAACCCCCATGTTAATGGGTTAATAGAGTAGAAAAGATGTTCTCTGAAAGAGATGATCCACAGGGTGCTAGTTTCCTCACTTGGAAGTACAGGATAAGGAGACATTAGTCAACCCTCCAGTATGCTATAAATAACCCTTCACATAGGATCCAGAGGTTGCCGCTGCAGGCATCTTCCACCCAAACCTCCTTAGTTTACATGAATGCAAATTGTTTATCCTTCCCATGCAGCCCCATAATTGTGAACCAATTTGTATTAATTAAATTGTATGGTAAAGAGAGGAGAAACTCTTAGCAAGCAATTGTTCTTTAAAACAGAACAGGGTTTTTTTTCTTCTTCGTGAGGATCTGTTATTCAGCTCAAAGTGACAAAGAGCCTTGGTGAAATGTTGTGTTTGTTGAGATGTTTATAGTTCGGAGATAAAAAGTAAACACATAACATCTTCTGCAGTACGTTTAATTATGAACACTTGGTTCCAGGAACTGCACAAATTAAATTCATGATGCCACTTGATGCCATGATGTTTGACCAGTCTGAATTAACTTCTGATTCCTGAAATAACAATTATTATGTTATAGGGCTTCTTAAATCAAAACAATCTTTAGAAAAATTCAACCAGCAGCTGAGGAAGGCATAACTAAACACTAAAACAAGTGCAAATAATTGAAGAATAACGTTAAAGGGACACTACTGTATAAAGATTGGCAGGCCCAAAGTTTGATCATCCCTAAATACATTTGTAAATGTTCTCCTGATACTGAACAATTGATCAGCTCTCCAAATAATGGCATCAAAAGGGTTCAACTCCTGCTCCCCAACTAAAAGAGCAGCACCAAAAAAAAAGTCTTTGTTGTCACTGCATGAGCTTGCCTCTTCCACTTATCGTTTCCTGTCCTATTCTCATGATCAGGTAGGTTATCCAAATCCAAAAGAAACATTTCGATATCTAGTATCAGAGGGGTAGCCATGTTAGTCTGAATCTGTAAAATCTGTAAAAAGCAACAGAGGGTCCTGTGGCACCTTTAAGACTAACCGAAGTATTGGGAGCATAAGCTTTCGTGGGTAAGAACCACACCTGCAACTGGAGAAGTGA